AATATTATTATTATTTAATATATTATTATTTTAAATATTATTATATGTTTTCAGAAATTAAACCACCAAACACAATTTCAGTTTTTTTAAAACTGAAAATAATTTCAGAATAAAACTACCAAACGTATTTTCAGAAATAATTTCAAAATGAAAATAAAAACGTTTTCATTTTCATTTTCATACAGAAAATAAAAACGTTTTAAAACTAATTCCAAACACACCCAATATGTCGCTGAGGAGCATGATGACAGCTTCACTAGCTAGATTTTAAAAAAATGGCAAGAATCTAATAAAAAAAAGGAATGGAAGTCGTGCTTTCGCCTTTCCGTCTTTTTTCAGTTTTTACTTTTGTTTTGTTTTGTTTTTTTGCCAAAAAAGACAACGTCCTTTTTATTAGTTGGAAAATTCTACCATAGATCCGTGCATTGTGAGGTGCATTTATCAATGTGAAGAATTGAAAAATAGTTAGAAAGTCGTATGCTAAGTCCCGTTTTTTTCGCTAATTCGAGTTTAGAATTTAAGTTTTACTACAGTAAAAAACTCTTCGAAACAGTCACATCTAACTTTTTTGTTACAGTAAAAAGCTCTCACACAACATCACATCTCAATTTGAATTAAAAACTCGAATTAGCGAACCGAACGGGCCCAGGCTCTTCCAACTGATAAGTCTAATTTTCTAATTTGTCGATCTCATTAAAATTATATTAAATTGTAAAAGTATGCATATAATAATTTTTAATACAAATTTAATGCTTAAAAACATGATTATTTCAGTAGTTTATTTTTATAAGACCTACTAGAAAAACTCTCACAAAATATATATATAAGTAGCAAACTAAAGTTAAAATAAAAACATAAAAAAAAAGAGAGTTTATGTGCTAGAACTAGAAAAATGAACTATAAATAATTTCCTAGTTTCACCATCAAATTGTATCAAAAACTATTTGTTATACATATTTTTTTAATCTGATGTGAATTTAATATGACCAGATCAAACAATCTGAAACTTACCTTATTGTTAGAGAGATCCTGCCAAAGAAAACCCTAAAACTTGAAGAGAAAAGTAAAATAACTCTTAAAGTATATTTTTGTAGGACCTACTAGAGACACTCTTACAAAATATATATAAGTAGCAAACTAAATTTAAAAGAAAAACTTAAAAAAAAAAAGAGTTTATGTGCTAGAACTAGAAAAATGAACTATAAATAATTTTCTAATTTCACCATCAGATTTGTATCAAAAATTACTTGTTCTACATATTTTTTTTATCTAGTGTGAATTTAACATGATCAGATTAAACAGTCAGAAACTTGCCTTACTTTTAGAGAGATCCTGCCGGAGAAAACCCTAAAATTTAAAGAAAAAAGTAAAATAGATCTTAAAGTACATAAAAAATAAATATAGCTTCCCTGCATGGCAGTGGCATATTCGTGGGGTGAACATTAAGGGAATATTTTTGATAAGCTGACATACGAATAAGACCAATTTTTTTAATTGTTTGATATGCATATTTATTTTTTATCTGATGTGATTTTATGCATATTAAAGGATTAGAAAAACTGATTCTATCAATATGTGGGCTTACTATAGAAGCTCCCAAAAGAAAATAAATATAGCTTCAAAGTCATTTGTAAATCGACTACAAAGTTTAAAGGTGAAAAAATGGAAAGGTCAATCGATTTTCAAATATCAAATATAACAAAAAATTGTAATGCAAATAGGTTAATAACAATAAATTATAAATGAAAATAATGTAAATTATTAAGGAAGCCTCTTCATTTAAAAAACTAGAATATTTGAAAATAAAAAGAAAGAAAGAAAAATGGACCGGATGTCATCTGAAACATGATTTGATTAATTTATATGTCGCCAAACCGTGTGGAGCATGATGACAGCTTCACTAGCTAGATTTTAAAAAAGATTAGTACCCGCCCTTCATTTGTCAAGGTATTTTCTGCAAAATATGTTTTAAATTCTTTATATCAACAAATTTTTAAAAGAATATAAAAACAAGAACTATTTCTTTTATGAGAGCTTCTCTTATAGAATAAATAAAATAAATTATCCGTAGTTCTCTACTTTTTAACCATTAGATATATATTAAAAATTATCTGTTTTGCATATTTTTTTAGTCTGATTTGATTTGACCAGATCTAACGGTTAAAAAATTGATATGTTGGCCTAAAAAAAACTCCCCTCTTTTGTGCACTTTTGAGTTAGTTATCTTTTAGTGTCCTTATGTATGAGATTATCACGATAAGTTTAAAACTTCAAATTAATTTTTTAGAAAGCTCTTCATTTAAAAAAAAAAGAATATTTGAAAACGAAAAAAAAAAAAAAAGAAAGAAAAATGCATCTGATGTAATCTGCAACATGATTTGAAGTATTTTTCTTTTTCGGTAGAATGATTTGAAGAACTTTACATGCCTCAAAACTATGCAGAGCACGAGGGAAAATCTAAAAGCTAGATCGTTAAGAATATTAGTCGAAGCCATTAAATTGGCCATGTATATCCTACAAAATAGGTTTTTAATTCTTGATTATTAAGAAATTTAGAATAGCATATAGAAACAATATCACTTCTTAGGAATTTCGAATCTTTGAGCACCCATGATATTATTATGATAAGTATTTCACTCTCAACTAATTTCTTAAAAAAGCCCGTCAATTAGGAAAAATATATATATATATTTGAAAAGGAAAGCAAGAAAGAAAATGCACATAATGTCGTATGCAACATGGATTTAAGAAATTTATATGACTTCAAATGGTGCGGAGATCCATCAGCTAGATTCTTAAGA